AAAATGAGAAAGCAGAATGTCCATAAACTAAAGTAATTTTTAAATTGTATCATAATACTGTCACTAAGAGATTGTAATTTTTAAACATGACCTGCAAAAAGCATTCCAACTAAAACTTTAGATAATCCATAGAAACCAGCTATTCCAGCTAAAGCATGTGAATTTATTATCTTAGTGAAAAAAACCCTCACAAAAACAAACAAACAAGCCAACAAACCCCACAAAAGAGGACAGATAGTTTATACGGTCAGAAAGATGAACAAATTAAGCCAAAATTTTACCCAGGCCTACATTTTTTATAGCATCAAATCATTAATGCTGATATATTGCCCTGGTGGTTTTGCATTTGTGGAATAGCTATCATGAATTTTACTCCAGTAAGTTAATATAATGTCTAGAGCACTGCATGTTTTGCAGAGTGTCTGATGTGTTAGAACAGAAAAATAAAGAGGTCAATTAAATAAATAAAAACCTAGACTTCACTGCCAAAGAATTATATCTCACAGCTTTAATAAAGAGATACCAAGAAATAAAGTTAAATATGTATTTGTATATACTCAAGCATTCCAAACAATGATTAAAATGACCTCAGGCCTCAAACCTTTCACTTGGAGCTATGTTCTTCACATGGCAGCAAGAGACATATTCCTAGAATTTGATACTAAAACACTGTCCTGGAGAAAAATAAAAAGAAAAAAAACTCCAGAATAATATTGATACTATTCTGTTCAATGGCAAGTCATTCAACTACCAGGCTGTCATCTGAGAACACAACTTGGAAGCTAATTCAGATGTGGATGAATATCAGTTTCCTCAAGAAGAGGGACTGAGAGGCCTGGCAAAATTATTTACCCTATGCAATACAAGTGTGTGGACATGAACCTCTGAAAAATCATGCCCCCAGCTGCATCTCTCCGATGGAAATAGCCAGAAAAGTAAAATAGAAAATGAAAAATGAGAATATTGCAACCAAATGACTGTTCAATTGACAGAGGAAAAACTAAGATGGTTGCAGGCAATTGAGTAAGAGCTGTTGAAGCAATTAGCATCCCAAGAGCAGGATTTGAATATCCCCTCAGTAGATGGTCCGTGTGTCCATCCTTGGTCTGTACCGTACAGGCAGGAATACACAGCACCTCCCAAGTGCTCTGGCAGAGACACCCTCAGTGTCTGTACTGAGCAGTGGCCTGAGCCCATGAGTGTAGGAGTGATGTAAGAAAAAAGAGGCCAAGAGATTAATCAGTGTTTGAGCTTTGAGATGATCTCTCTATTAATCTGTCTGGTTTACAATCTGTGGGGTAGATATATCTGTGTTACGTGATGTGACAAGCCTGCAGACTCTGTCACCTGAGACAGTGCTCTAGAAAAAGGATGTTTGGAAAAGGTAGGAAACCAAAACTTCTTCTAAAAAGCATTTTTTAAAATTGTTCACTGAATGTGACTGAAGCAGCAAAGCCAGGATAACTACACCACCTACAACTGACTTCTTATCCAGAGCAGTCCAGAACTGAGAAGTATGGTAACTATATGAGCTCATTAGCTGTTACAAATCTCAAGTGCCATTAAAATAACAATTTTGAGAAAAGAATTAAAGAAAAACAAAGTATAAACAAAACCAACCAAGGATTTAAAAGTACTTCCATCTCAAAATATGTCCATCTTCCTTCTAAGGCCCAGATTACAGGGGATGAGCTTCCACTTTTGGATACTGAATGGTGAAGATAGCATAAGCATTTCAAATGATGTTGAATATAGAGGCAGCCAACTTGAGGATATGTCAGGACAATCTGAAAACAAAAGTTTGTCTCATTGCTTATTGAAATACAGCATCCCTAGTGCATTTTTCCACAGGCAAAACTGTCTTCTCATTGTAAATGACATGTCTATTTGCATTGAGTTTATGCTCCGCATCTGGGAGATAATCATATTGCTTCATCCTGCTGCCACAGTTATCAAATAGAAAGGCTGAACTGGAAGATAAACTTGTTGTTATTTTTAAGTTTACAGAGTGTATTTGAAAAAAAGTAAAAAAAGGCCAGTCTGGAGCAATATTTCTCAATGAGTATCAGTAGCATGTTGGTATAAACATACACGTTCCTTGGTTCCTGTGGAGCAGCACCGTGAAACTCCGCAGTAATAAAAGTGGGACGAGAGGCATGCAAAGGCAAACAGCAGCAATGAAGCAGAGGCAGGAGAGCTCCCACAGCAGGGTGAAACTTTCAGTGTCAGAGAAAATCATGAACTTGAGGCAAGGCACAAAGGCAGCCACGGAAGACAATGCAACATAGGCTGCTGGTGGGACAGGTAACTCAGCCCAGGTAAAGCTCCACTGACTGCACCTGACGTCACTTAAAGGTTGTCATCACTGAAAGATGACACCAAAGAGCAAAAGGAAGACTGATGGAAGCACTGACTAAAGAACCCTCTTTATGTGCTGGTAAAATGATGCAAGAAAGGAGCCTGACCTGGCGACTGCTCTGTGACAGGTGACATCCACGTCCTGCGGCAGAGCCTGGCAGCTGGACAGCAGTGGGCAGCCCCTGCAGGGACAGCTGCTTCCCATGGGCGCTGCTCTGCGGGCTTTGCACAGCCCCCTCCAGAGCAGGAGCCTGAGTGCAAGAAGCCTTTTACAGCTCCAGGCCTTTTCCAGTCCTCCATCTCTTATTGTAGATGGTTGCTGAAGAACTACTAAAACCTATCTGTGCTTATGGTCTGCCAGACTGTCCTTCCAAATGAGATTTTGCAGATGATAGTGAATTAATTTAACCTATAGGCTCATGTAAATTAGTAATATACTTAATTTATTTTAAAAATTCAAAATCCTTTTCCTAAGTGGTCAGCACCAAGTACTTGTAAGGAAAATAGAGGACATTTTCCAAATCCTTGCTAGTTAAGTCGTAAAATATATGGCTTAAATATTTTTATAAATGTATTGTAACCTATCTCAGATGTTATATAGAAAAAAGAATTAAATAGCAGATCTTCAAATATTATTTCTTTCCTGTGTTTTTGACTCTGTCTTGCCTAGTGTTCAACTTCCATGACATATCACAGCAACACTAGTAGTAATGCTGTAGCACAAGAGTCTAGAGAAATAAGTAGTGGAAGGCTTTGCCTGCAAGTAGTTAAATACATATGATTCTCTTGAACTTCATTTTTTGTGTGCATTATTATGAAATTATCTATGTCTTTTGTTAATCTTTAAGGTAATATTTCATTATTGTTTTAGCCCTATTAATATAGTATAAAGAAGAAATATCCCATTTTCTCTAATGAAGAAAATTAAAAATCAATTTCCAAGCCATCTCATTTAGAAAAGTAATTTTAAAAGCAATGAGACTATAATTTTGAATTGTGTAACAAATCAATTCATGTTTTAGAGCTCACACTAGTCAAGGGTGATTTGTTTAGCAAATTCAGCTCAGTTTTCTAATGCAGCTCGTATTTTGTTTGTCCTGACCTTACTATCTCCATTTTCATTGTAGCACAGTAGGAAAACACATGGAGACCCAATGTTTCTTACAGATGTTTTTATTACTGATTTACTGTTCCCCTTCTCCTCTGCACTAACATCTCATTTGAACCAGTCCAGTGCCCTCGGTTCAGATTCCTGAATCTGGTGCTGACTACCAGGCCCCCTCTGTGGGAGTCTGTTTCTCTGGAGGATGTTTTGTTTCTTTCTCCCCCATAATCTGAGTCACAACATGGGGCAATGGTGCTCTGACTCTACTGCCAGAAAACCACACGGCCAAATGCTCAAGTGCTCTCCAAAAATCCACAAAGTCTTCCTTTAGAGGTGATAATATATAACATGAGAAAGTAAGATCACAGGTGTTCTATAAATAAGTAAAATAAGGGCATGGAGGCTAAATCACTTTCCAAGGGCCATACATATATGCAGAGCTAGAAACAGCAATAAAATATATTATGCTTTTGAAAGTCTATGAATTGGACTATCAGGTAGATTTTACTTCTCTTACCACTCAGTAGTCTTTAATAAATCTTTTATTGACATAAATGTAGTGACCTTCCTGAAAACACTGAAACTTTCCCAGTTTCCAGAAAGAGAAAAACCGATTCACCTTTTCTCTCCTTAGCAGAGGAAACAAAGTTTTTCATGCATAGGATCCCTGAGGATCAAACTCAAAAACATCTCTATTATCAACCCTGTGTTCGAAACAAATACAAAACTGTCCTGTATCAGCCACTGTGAAGAAAATGAACTCTACCCCCGACAAAACCAACACAATATTTTATTAGGCTTGGCTGGTACTGAAATTCAGAGTAGGGCAGCCACATATTTTAAAAAATTTCAGGGAAAACTTGTTGGTTTTAACAAACATACCTTGGTGGGGTTCTTTTTCAGTCTGCTATTGAAATAGGAAAATGCAGATAGCCCAACCTAATTTTCTATACTTCCCTGGTGCAACTGGTAAGCTCTCACAGATACCAGCAATATTTGAAATGGTTGAGCACCATTCCTTCTGAAGTGATGGAGCATACCCCTCTTCTGCCATCGTTGTCACATGCGGAGCAAGAATTATCTAATAGGTAAGGAGCAACTCAAAGACCCCTCAACAGCTGCTGAGCTGTTCAGTCAGTTTGGCTCTGGGAATACGGAGCCAGGGTTGGATCAGATGTACAAAGAGCCTGTGAGCAGAGTTACATGGCTATAAACTTGGTATGAGAGGAGATTGAGCAAAGCAAATCAGGTGCCACAAGCACGATTTGCTTGCTGCTAATGATGTCTCTGTAACATCACAGGCTATCTCTAAGCTATATTTTCCACTGCCTTGCTGGCTTGCAAAACTTTTAATGGAACAAGTTTTTCTGGCAGAAGAACACTGATTTTTATCTTTAATGAGCAACCTCTCTATCATTTAGCTTCAGGAAACAGCTTCCTGGTTGTAAACTGCTTGAGACTGCTGACAGCCTGGCAACTTCAAAAGCAGCCAGGAGCAACTTTCTTTTTCTTGCTAACTTTGGGAAGGAATTCAAAAATGCTGAAAGGTGCAGATGATTCTGTTATGGAGCAGGAGGATTCTGCTTCCCAACATGGAGAAATGACAAGCTGGGATATCAATGACATCAAACTTCCCCAGGTATGTGTCTGTGTCTGTGTCTTAGAAATTTATTTTGTTCTGACCAGTCACCTCCACCACTGATCTTAAATGCTTTCTCAGTCATCTATGACTCATTGCCTTTATACTCTTTGTCACCTCGAGGTATGGGGGAGTGTTTTGCTAGAAAATATTGAGAAAACATTGACATTTCCATGCATTTCTCTTTAAACGTATTATTGAAAGAGCTGTTGATGCATGAAAAATAGCAACGCTGCAAAGGCATTGTTTTCACTGGTGGATTAGATGCAGAGAAAGCAGAGGAAAGAAAGGTGCCTCCTGCTGTGGGTACTTAATTAGAGCTGTCCAGGACTTGCTTTTTGTCCTGGGTAGTGTTTTTTGAGAAGGCAGCACAGCACCCGCCACTGTCTTGCAACTGTGGGATTGGACTCCGCTCCAGAGCTGTCTTCCCACATGGAGGCAAGTCTTTCCATGAGCACCTAGGGAATCCTTGCTTCATGTTTGCAGTGATTTGCTGAGAGGCACAATAGTGATCTTCCCCTCCCTGTGTCCTTTTCTAGTTCTCTTAGCTAAAAGTTTAAACCATGCTCTCCACTGAAAGCCCACACACCCTGCACACCAATGTCACTTCCCTGTCCCTCAGCTCTGCATATTTCTGCCAGATTCCTCCTGCTGCAGTCCTTCAGCATCCAGACTGCCTTTCAACTCCCAGCCCTGACTTCTTACTGGATCCCAGCCTCCTCCCTACTATAACAGTGCTGTTTGCCCAAAGCCTCATGTTCCAGGATGTCCCCTTCCCTGCCCTTCAGCCCAAGGTCACCTTCACCTCCATTTCAGTCTGGAGGCTTCATGGACACCCTACCCTACACTATCCAGTGGCTACAAGGGGAGCATGGGAATTTTTCTCTTCTTGGTTGGTGTTCTTACTTTTCCCTCAAAATCATTATCAGGTATGGTAGATGCTTTACAGCTTACTTCATTTTCCTGTATTGACTGTACCCAGTGATGTATTTGGGTCTTTGCAGGTTTTTTTTCCCAGCTTTATTTTTATTGCTCCTTACTCTGTTGTCCTTGAGGCTTGGTGTTTGTTTGTTTAGGGGTTTTGGGGATTTTTTTGCCTTTTTTTTTTTTTTTTTAAAAGGGGGATTTTTTTTGATTTTTTTTTTTTTTTTTTTTTTTTTTTTTTTTTTTTTTTTTTGGGGTGGTTTTGGGGGGTTTTTTTGTTTGTTTTTTGTGGGTTTTTTTTGGTTGGTTGGGTTTTTGCGTGTTTTTTTATTCTTTTTGATTGGTTGGTTGGGTGAATGAGAACAAGCTGCTGGGCAGGCCTTCCTGACGCTCTGGGGCCTGCGGGAAGTCGCAGAGATCTGTGTTTTTCCTGCCTTATTTCCACTGCTTCCTCCTAACAACCAGCATCACCTTGCCAGGTTGCTAGAGTCACCTAGACTAGAGGAAATGCAGCAGAGGTCCAACTCTGCTTAGCTCCTGGACAAGCTTTTCTCTTCCCCAGCCTAAAATATGGCTTGCTTTGCTTTTTCCACAGCATGTGAGCCAGACAGACTGGTTTCAAGAATGGCCAGATTCCTATGTAAAACATATCTATAGCTCAGAGGATAAAAATGCTCAGAGGCACCACAGCAGCTGGGCAATGAGAAACACCAACAACCACAACTCTCGCATCTTAAAGAAGTCCTGCCTTGGGGTGGTGGTTTGTGGTAACAACTGCTCTACCTTGGATGGGAAGAAAATCTACCTAAGACCAGCCATATGTGATAAAGCCAGGCAAAAACAACAGCGTGAGTACAAACATGGCAGTTCATTGTATGGCAGCTCATAAGTGAACACAACATAGCAGAAATCAAAGTATAGGATATCCTCTGGATTACCCAGCCTTCCTTCTGCCAATCCTTATATTGCAATGCAACTCTTGATTCAGAACAGTGCATTTTACACTTCTTATTGTTGGGGCATAGTCATCTGCTTGTATATTTTCCTTTTTTTTCTAATAATTTTTAAATATCTGTTTCTGCTGGTTAGGATTGATTCCCAGCCTTCTCAGGTCCATGAGTGAGGGTACTGAGAAAGCTGTGCAGTGCAGGCACTGCCCTGCTGTTCCTGCCCACCTGAGTGTTGGCTTCATTATTGTACTGGCCCAAGAGTAACTCAGGAGGCAACTCTTGCAGGAAAGAGGTTGCTCATAAACTGTGATGACTGGAAAATAGGCCCCACAGTCACGTCACTGGAGCAAGACAATGCAAACAGAAAACATGAGCTGCACGCACATTTTTACTAAGACCATTCCAAACAATTGTGATTGCTCAGTAGAGCTAGCACATACTGATTTCTGGGTCTGATGTACATTTAGCTAAAGAAAGGTATTACTCAGGTGCTCACTGAGACTAGAACAATGCTCTCTAGAAACACATATGACATTCCAAACACTGACAAGAGAAAAACTAAAACTGACCATGGTAATAAATGATAAAATTGTAATAACATTTTAACAGAAATAATTTTTTACATTTGTATTTAATAACAGACAGAAAAAAGGCAATTACTAGTTTATTAATATTGATTTTTGCTTATGTTTGGAAGTTTTTCACATAGTTTCTTTCTACAATTTCTGAGGACCAAACTAGAAGTGGCAATCTGCCACCAATGGACCATTGTATCACATGGGATTCATCTAAGTGGTGTTGTATAAAAAAATGTTTTCCTCTATCCTTGCTCCAGGGAAATGCTGTCCAAACTGCAATGGACCACTGCGGCTCCTTTCCTGCCGAGGGCATGGTGGATACCCAGTTACCAACTTCTGGAGGCATGAGGGCCAATTCATATTTTTCCAGGTTGGCATAAAATTACCTAACATTATGCAAGTTAATTTTAAAGACTGGTATTTTAAGTTTTATTTAGCAATTTTTTTTCTTCCAACAAATAGGGGTTATTGAATATGACAAGGTCAAAATAACTGTAAGGAGAAAAAATTTTCACAAGGTCCAAAGTAACCTGATGTAACTCTGAAGTTAGTCCTACCTGAGCAGGAGGTTGACCTAGAGGGTCCTTCCAGCCTAAATTAGCCTATGCTACTATAATTTTACAGCACAGTGTGTTTTTTATTTAGAATTCTGTGAAAAGTTGTTGATTTTGAAGTGTTTTGCCTCAGGTACATGGGAACCAACAAATGCTCAGAAGTCAGAAATACCGTATTATCTCTTCTCCTTCTCCAAGGCACTATACATAATTGTGAGGGAATCTTGGAACAGGAAATGGGTGTACTCAAGGGGCTGTCTATGGAAACTGCCATCTCTGTATTATATGTAACTTATATCTGGAGCACAGTGTATGCAAGTGTTTAAATAATGGGCACTATTTCTGGAAGCTGTAGTCCTGGTTTAGTAACATAACCACTTTCCTGTTTTCCACTCTTTCACTTATGTGCAGGCTAAATAAAATTAATTCTCTCTGGAGCTAATGGAAATTAATGTGCAGATAAATGTGTCTAAACTGTAAGAAGAATGAAAGTGACTGCAGGGATACTGTAGCCAAGCTGCAGAGGACCTCTGGCTTCAGCTGGGGCTCTGCTGGGGAGACCGTCTTCTACAAATAAATGTGGTGCACTGATTTTATTATTTCAAAGGGTTTCTACCCCATCCCACTTAATCTGGGATATGTTTATTATCTGAGCTCCCAGTAACTAAATCCTATTAGATACAAAGCATTAAATGAGGCCATAATATGTGATTTTGGCCTGTGGTATAAAATCTGTTCCCTTGAGATTAATAAGGTTTCTTCTACCTTTAATATACCATCATTATTTTCTAAAGTCCAAAGGAGCTCATGACCACCCACGTCCAGAAACAAAACTAGAAGCAGAAGCAAGAAGATCAATCCAAAAAGCAAAGACATCTTTTTCTCCATCTTCTCTAAGACAAAAGAGAATCCAGGAGATTGAGGTAACTCTTGCCATTGGTCAACGAAATTTTGGCTAATCAATCTGTGGTTCAAGGCATGATGGAGACCATCTGGGCTTTGGGTCTGGGTGGGAGCAAGATTTACATCTCCACATTCCACAAGCCCATGATCAGGCCAAGAAGGACCAGGGCTGTCCTGAGCATCCTGTTCTCCTTAGCACTGTCATCCACTGCCAGCACCTCCTCTCCAGAGCAAATTTGCACCTGGTGGCAGCAGGAGATTGCATCTACACTGGTAAACAAAGCAGGGCTGCAGGGCAGTCTAAGCTTCATCACCATTCACATGGAACTTCCTCTGCATTAGTTTCTGCCCATTGCCTCTTTTCCTATTTCTTGGCACTACTGAAAAAGGCAAAGGCATCCTCCACCTCTCCCTGTTCCCCTTGAGTTTTGGCAAGGTTAAGAAGGGGAAGATGCATAACCTGTATCGGTTTGCCTGGTTTGAAGGCAAAAGAGTGCTTTGAGAACTTTCTGAAGCACTGATGTTAAAACATCAGCTCTGATGGGTGTGGAAACACTTCCACACCCATCAGAAAGCATCTCCAGAGATCCTTGGGACCTGCATGACTGATGGAGAGACTCTCAGTGACTTTCATTGCAAAGGCTGTGTTAAGCTCAATTGTCATCACCAGTATTCACATGCAGTTTGTCTTTTGATATGTTAGGGGTGGTGTATTCCCCCAGTCTGGTGTTAGGGACAGCAATCCATGCCCTTTCAGCCACAGACAGAAGGGATAATTGCCCTGGGTGGAGACAGATTTCTTAAGTGGACGACATGGAGAAGCAAGGGGATCTGGACCCCAGAAGCAGATAAAATGTGCACACAGGAAGTTAAACCCATTTGCATAGAATGTGAATTTAGCAGCTGCAGCTGTTTCTACTGGAAATACTCAGGAAAACTCTAAAAACCAGAACGTCTTGACACAAGTGCCTGGGAACAAAAGCATAGGAAAAACCAACTGATCTGCCTAATTGTCTAACAAATACAGCACCAATGCTTTTCCTATCATTGGTTTAGGTCTGTCTCCATGAACACTGAAATAGTTTCCACCTAGGAAATATGGCTGAGCTACATGATTTTCTCTCTTTTATAACTGAGCTTACTGGTCATCCTGCTTGCTTAGGTCAAGTTTCCTGTAGACATGCCTTCATCTTTCCCTTCTTAAAACATCTTCCTGAGGCTTTCACTTTCAATTGTGTGAGATTAGACTAAAGGTGCCACAAATGTCTAATAGTAGAGCCTGCTCTTCAGCTGTTCTGACTCTGTACAGTCAGACTTAGGACATTTATCCTCATTGGCTTTCCAGTTCATGGCAGGTTTTCTTGGGAATAACCCATCATATTAGTGTTTTGCCAAACTAGCTGTGATACAGCTAACTCAGAGTAGGATTTGTCGCACAGAATCTGTATCGCTCAATCTGCAAAAACATATTCCAAAAAGATTCAGTTTTAATGTGTTCAGTCTGAAAAATGTATTCTGAAAAGATTCACTTTTAATGTGCTCAAAAGAAATCAGGGAAGAGAACTTAACAAAAAGGTATGAGCCCAAAATAGAACGAGTGATTTATAGGATGGTCTCTCTATGGTATCTGCGGTGGGTCTGTAGCTGAAGGTGGGCTGGGTCCTACACCAGATTGTTGGAATTTTTTCTCATGGCACATGGAGAAAAACTGAAAGGAGCTTTGCTGCTCCAGCAATCTGCAAAACCACTATAATTAAATGGATGAAAAAGCAGAATTATAAAGAAGAAAGACCTGCAAGCACTCATTAGAAGTGACTGTTCTGAAAGGAATTAAAGTTTGCATAATTATAATCCAATAATTGGAGCAATTAAAGAAGTTATTAAATATCCAGAACAAAAGACCCAGAAGAATAATTCTTGTGTGCTGATCCCAACCTGAATGAAATTTCTGTTTGTGGAGTAAAAAATTGTAAAGATAGGAAAATTTATTTGTTAGAAATAGACTCTAGAAAAGCTGAAGAAGGATATTTTTGTAGTGAAAAGGCCACCTCAAAACAATCAGTATAAAAATCATACTTAGCTTTTCCAATCTCCATAGAAAAAAAAAATCTGTGGTGTCAAATATATTAGCATAATTCCATTTTTAGGTCCTTCTTCAGTATATGTTGGCAGTTGTCCTGAAGGGCTGTGAAAACAAGGTCTAAACAACTCTTTTAGTGTAAAACAGGCTTTGGGCAAAAACTGGTGAAACTAACCCAGGGGCAAGAGCTGGGAGCCTTGTTCAGTTTCCTCCTACAGCCATGGGCACCCCCTCTATGGTGGGGGAGACTGCTATGCCATCTTGCTTTGTTACCTGTGTTCACAGAACCACAGAATGGTCAAGGATGGAAGAGACACCTCAGACCATCATGTTAGCCGAGTGCCTTTGTAAGCAGCTCAGAGAGGAGAGGAGCTACGCCGCACCTTGTTTTACTAACCCGTGCCTTGCTTTCCCAAGTCTCTGACAGGTGCAGCGCCGACACAGGAGCCTTTGCCTTCGCTTCTTTCCAACGCGGACGCTCACGTTCCACCTGCCGATTTCAGGGGGCATTTAAGGGAAAGCTCTCAGGAGGCACCGCTGAGCAGCTGCTCGGGGCAGTTTGCACACCCCGGGGCGGCTGGGGCGGCCGGGGCGGCACCGACCTGGGGCCGGAGCCCGTCCCTCGGGAGGAGCCCCCGAGCCGAGGGGCTGTGCCGGGTCCCTGCTGCGCCCAGCACGGCCCCTTCGCCCCGGCCCCGCGCCCAGCACGTCCTGCCCGTGGCGCAGGGGGGCCGGGAGCCCTTCGGCTCTGGCGGGGGCCCTGTGGGACACGGATCCTGCGGGGCGAGGTCGCCGCTGCCCCACGGCGGTGGCTGCCTCTCGCTGCCGCCCTACCCGCCCCAGGGCGGGCCCTGCCCCATGGCGAGCGGGGCACAGCCTCACCCACAGGCCTGGGCGAGGGCACCGAGTCTGCCTCAACTACTGCAACCACGACATGTTTTTTAACCTGTACCCATTACGGTGGCCGGGTTCAAATGTCCCTGCTCGCCCCTCCTCTGGCAATGGGTCCAATTCTCCACCCCTGTGGCAGCGCAGACGTGAAAGCTACCACAACAGGTCTCACTTTAGCTCCTCTTGCAGGTCCCAGAAGGGGCTTTCAAACCTGAAGACTTGTCTTTGTTCCTTTTTATTTAACAGTCCTATTTCCCCCCAAATAAAAGCTATCAGCTTCTCTTACAGACTGCCTCGCTGCCATTCTGGTTAGGTAGCATTTCAACCCTCCTCCGTACACAGCTTGTTCAAGCCTGTGGGACTGTGGAAGGTGTCGATGGATGATCTCAAGGACCACAACTGACATGTGCAACCTTCTGCACTCTTCCAGCTTCTTCAGGCAGTCTCTCTTCAGACCTACGTTCCTGCACTGCACCAGCCTTGTACTCTTATTGTATAGAGCTGGATACAGGAATTCACGTGGGATTTCATGAGAATGGAGTAGATGAGGAGAATCCTCCTCCTCCACCTGTGGTCATGCTGCATATGCACACTACCAGATCATGTCCAATACACCAGTTGCCCTAAGTTCTTGTCTGCAAGGCTGGACCCAGTTTCATGTATATAAATATTCAAGGTACCTTGCTGCTTTTTCCAGGCACTTTTCATTTCTTTCATTGTAGACTGTAAAGAACCCTTCAGCATCCATTCCATACATCATCCCCTTTGCTGACCACTATCATAAGCTGTATTTCAGTAGGATCCATCAGTTCTCTACATTTGTTTAAAATACTAGAGTGCCAAGTAGGAATTGTCTTGCCTGAATCTAGTGGCTCAGACACTTTTGGCAAAGATTCCTTTACGTTTTCCCATAAATGACATCTGCATGGCTTTGCTGCATGCCTGGCCTCTGCTGCTTTCTGGACTGGGTTTCAGGGGCCACCAACCTCCCCTGCAGAGGCAGGCACTAACACACTCCTGCTGCCACCCGTGCAAGGAAGAGCTGAGGGATGTCATGTACAAACCTATGGAGCCACATTGTCTGGGAGGACAGTATTACAAAACATGTGGCAATAAAAACTTCACAGTACCTCAGAATGGGATGTATCACCTGTTCATCAAAGAGGTTCAGTCTTAGCTTTTCCCCCCACCCCCCCTAGTTTTTATATTAGTTGCTAGGTAAACCACTCTTCCAGTGACTGGTGTAGTTCAGAGATATTTACAAGATAACAATGAATTGTATTTATAGAGTGTTTCAAAATGTTTATTGGAATTTGTGAAACGGGATGCACAGTTATCTAAGTGGAAAAAGATCTAAATGTAGATCACAGTAACAGTGTATTATTGTACATGAAGGTCAACTCACCAAACTTTTTTTAGTCAGTGAGTCACTCCCACACTAATTCCAAATTTGGCATGTTTTATGATTTTTAACTCAAAGGAGGAAACGTTGATCAACATTTGTAACAACCTCTAAGACACAAAGAGAGAAATTAATAGGCCATGAACACTTGTGCTTCAGGAGGTGAGCTGCAGGATTAGGGACAGGCACCAGCACCTGCTGGGGCTGGTGTCTCATAGCTCGGATTCCTCAAAACAGCCACACAGGTGAGGGACCACACAGGACATGGCTCTTGCCATGGCCATCTGGCTCTGTCTTATTTTGTCTCTCCTCTGAATTCCTTGCCTCTCCACTGCAATGCTGCTAGCATCGCCTCTCAGCTGTTGTGACATTCAGATCTGTGGCTGTGAGGCTCCTTGGTAATTGTTTCCACTCCAAAGTCCCCTTACACTCATCAACCACTTCCTCTATTTTTAGAAACTTACAGCAAAGGGGGTTTGATAACCAGTCCTGTTCCATGGCTTCTCTGTTCCAATTCCAGCTGTTAGCATTTTTTCACTCATCTGATTTTCTTTCCTGCCAATCAACCCCATTTCTTCAAGTCTTTTAAGTTGGGTAGCATCCAGTTACTAAGTTTCACAGGCTTCCTAAAGGCCTATTACAACCAAACATCCCTAAAAGATAATTACTACCAACCTTTCTCCCTGCCTGAGAAGGAAGAGCCTTTTTGTTGGTTTACCTTTGAGTCTGAATCAAAAGGTTTCCAAAATGAAACCTATTCCAGTGATCTCAGCTCCCCTCAGTAGCTCCCTGCCATGGAAGAGCCATGCCTTCTTGCAGCTTCCATGCTTGTAATCCTGCACAAGCGGGACTGTCCTGCAGTTTGGGGGGACCCAGGATTCATGCAGCATTCATCACACTTAGCCTCTTTCCATCAGAAATACATTTCAGGCTGTATCTTACAGAAACCTAACTTTGATGTTTGGAGGATTTTGGCTCACGCAGCGTTTAAAGGTGAAATAGACACATAATGATAAGGAACTACCTAAATAGTACAAGGCAGCAACTGCACACCTGAATTTATTAGTGTATTTATCTTGAGAACATCAGATTGATAAAGGATAATGTTTTTCTATCAGTCACAGCAAAGGGGAAATGAGAAAGCAGAACAGGGATTTGGCCCACATCTCTCCAGCCCTGGGAACATACACTGTGTTTCTTCTGGCTTTCTTCTCCCAGGATCTCTACCTTTGCATGTGAAAAAATTGCAGGTCAGACTGAGCGAAGACACATTTTCCTTTTCAACCCCTTGTACAAAGCTCCTGCCCCTGGGGAGATTGGCAAGGCTATGGACTATTTTCTACATTATGGTCCTAAACACATTCTCTGTATTTTCAAAATGAAACAAGGTTGTCAAATTTCTGGTGGTAGAAAATACTCCAGCTGAGGAAGCTTTAGAGGATACATCTCCATTCATTGTAGAGAGCTCTTCTTTCCTTGTGGTCTTTGGGATATTTAGTAATCTGTGCGTCTGGTATTCCTGGCAATTTTGCTCTGCTTTTCCTCAGGGTAGTAATTTGGGGCTTTTTAATAACTATGGTCAAGGAGTCAGTATTTTACTTCATTGGAAGCAATATGTAGAAGTGACCCCTGTGGTGGATCTCAGCAGGGATGTGGCCAGGAAAAGGCACTGTACTGAATCAGGATCAGTCAGCATAGATTGCATGAGTCAGGTTCAACTGCTTCAGGTGTTTAGATGTGCAGTTCCAATTGCTATTCATGCTCTGCTTTGATTACTGATTGCATCTATTTTGCTCTGACACAAGCCGACTTCCTTAATTTTTCTTTTTAAATTAACTGCACCATTTTCCCATCCTTCTCTGACCCTCCTGGGTCCCCATGCCATGTAAATCCTCTTCCTCCCTGAGCTGCTGCAGTTCTCAGGCACTAAGAGGTTTTGGTCTTTCACAAGGTGAACTTCCCCAACATTGTTCATCTCCTGAAGCAAGGAGGACTCACCATCAATGCAGGGGAAAAAGCTTAGGGAACACTTAAACAAACCCAACATACCTAAGTCCATGGGACCTGATGGAATGCACCCATGAGCACAGAGGAAGCTGGCAGGTGTTACTGTGAGGTCACTCAATAATCATTGAAAAGTCATGGTGATTGGGAGAGCCTGAAAACTGGAAGAAAGCAATGCAACTTTTGTCTTCAAGGAAAACAAGAAGGAGGATGTGGGAAACTACACACTGCCCAGCTATACCTTGAAATGTGCAAAGGTAATGAAAAAAATCCTCTTAATAACTTTGCAAACACATGGAAGACTAAAAAGTGATTAAGGCCAGTCAGCATGGATTAATGAAAGGGAAATTGTGCTTAACCAACCTCAGAGCAGTATACAGTGAGAGGACTGGCTTGGTGGATGAGGAGGAAGCAGTGGATAAGTTTTATCTTCTTGTTAGCCTGCCTTTCAGGACAGTCTTCCAAAACATCCTCAGAGACAAGCCAATGAAGTATGGAATTGTTAAGTGGACAGTGAGGTGGACTGAAACCTCTTCTATTTTGTGATACTGGTAACACTTAGGATCAGCTATAGCTCTTCTCATACCAGAGAGCTGCACTCTCCAGATGTTTCTGTTTGAATTAGCCACGTGCAGTGTAGCATATCCAGAAAGTTATCTGAAATGTGGCATATGAAAGACACCCTGGGGGAGCAGGACATAAATATGGCATATGAAAGACACCCTGGGGCAGCCTTTGTGGCCCTGAAGGCAGCAGCATCAGCAATGTGATTGCCACAAGCATGCTTTGCTCTCCTTGTTGGTCCATTTGATTTCTGTGAGCAATGTGAGGTGATCTTCTGTATAGCACAGATAGTCTCTTAGGGGAACAGGACAAGTGAGGAAGGCCAGCTTTTCACTCTGAGCTCATTTCTGCTGTTTCTACTTAGTAAGTGAGGAAGCAGAACTGTCTCTGTCTTAGGGGGCGTGTCTCAGATGAATGTTTTTCATTTCTCCAAATCAGTCATGTCAAGATTTAAACTTAACATCTTTTGGCAATTGTGTCATCAGTGGTGTGGCATAAGTATTCTGTTTTCAAGGGTTGGCCAATCTATTTGTTCTTCTGAAGAGGGACAGTCATAAAGAATACACACCACAGCACAAAAGTGTCCTCTTTTCTCAGTGCTTTCTGTGCCTGGTGGAAACTGTTAAGCAAAGGTCAAAGCCACATGGCAATTGGACATCCAGCTCCTTCTTGCTTCTAGAGGAGATAGCAATGTCCTGTGGTAGGATCAGGTCCCTCATTCCTTCACTCCCAGCAGAATGTCCCTGCCAGGACATGGCATAGACCAGTTGGTGGGGCCTTCTGCCCCAAACACCAGGTGAGGAGGGGAGGCACAAGGACATGCTGCTGACCTCGTGTCTACAGCCTCTCCCTTGGCACCTGCAGGTGGTGACAGCCTTACACTGGACTCTGGCATCTACAGCAATGAGTCATGACTGCCACAAGAACAGCTGTGACCAACTTAATGTCTCCTAATGCCTGTAGATGGTATAAACATTGGGTGTCATGAAAAGCTGTTTGCCAAACATCCAGATGTTCTCTGCTCAAGTCACAGCAAGGACAGGAGGTAACAACCATGATCTTCAGTGTAGACCAGCAGGGACTG